CAAGAGAGTTGTTAGTAAATAGTTGCCAATCTAAGTGTGTCCCTGTGGCATCTGAATTTAACTTCAGAGGCCTGCAAACTGTGGGACCTGCCGAATGGGTGGGATTATCATTTGAGTCCAAACCGGTGAGTTATTTGTAGGTTCCAACTGTCACTTTCTCTATATGTTTCTACAAAATTCCTTGCACTACTGAAGTAAGTGGGCAGACACCTCTGTCTTTAAATTTCTTGTAGCAACCTCTGGAAACATCAAAAGTTACTGTCAATTGACCTTGATAAAGTGGCTCTGCCCAGTTTTCGACAGAACCGACCCCAAGTGAGGCCATTGTCCCCTGGAGAAAGTGGAGCATGGGACATTCCTGGAGGTAAATATTGAAAAAATTGAAAGTTGCTGTTTTGCTTTGCTTTTTGTATAAGCTTTGCAAAAACAACAAACAGTGGGGCCAGAAGAGAGGCCGTATGTTTATTTGCAGTTGTGAAAAACATACAAATAATAGTATGGCTGACTGATGAAGCCCAAGAGAAGTATTTTTGCATAGGAATAGTTTATTCAGAAGAAAGCATGCGTGACATACTGGGAGGAAGATTTTGGTAGGTGCTTTTTGGATAGTTGAGGTGTGTTTTGGTGCTGTTCGGACCGACAGGCGTCAGCAGCATTCACTGTCCTTGGGAGCTGTGGCTGGATACCTCCTGCTGGTTACAATTCCTTGTGTGAGTGCACAAAAGCAGAGTCCAGAAGAGTTTGTCTGAACGGTGCTTTGGGCAAGGTGTTACACTAACAAGTGATGTGGAGCACTTGAAACAGCTTTCAGTCTAATGGCGGGCTGCTCTCCTGTACAAGCTGGAAGTAGTTTGAAAGCCTCACGCGTGCTCCTTTTGCCAGTCTTAGCTGCCAGACCAAAAGGTAAAGACGGAAGGTTTGGTTCTATAGCTCATCCTCACTGTGGGCATGCATGGTCTCTGGAGCAAGCACAAAATCACTTTCCTCATGGCATCGGGATTTGGTGTGATTTATAGAAGTGACTTAGTGGTAAAATTACGGTCAGACGTTTGCCTCGCTCTTCTAATGCAGAACAGAAGGTTGTTGTTGCAGGGGAAATCTGGGTTGTAATTTGATGTGCCCAAATAGGTGGAAATGCCGGTGCTTTTCTGTAACATTAGCATCCTGTCTTATTTTCCCTAATCGGTCTGCAGTTGTTAATCTTCCTGTCTGAAATGTAATCTGATTAATAGCCGTTTCGTCTTTGAACAAGAGTTACCATTTGATCATTTTGGTAGGTAGCGTTAACGCTGCAAAGACATTGTAGCTCATGTGGTCACTAGTCGCTTCCAAACCTCTTTGCCTTTCTAGGTATAATGCCCGGCCGGTACAACCAGGACGTAGGACAGACGATTCCGGTCTTTGCTTTTCTTGGTGCCATGGTGGTTCTGGCGTTCTTTGTGGTGCAGATCAACAAAGCAAAGAGCAGGCCAAAGAGACGGAAACCACGAGTGAAACGACCGCAGCTTATGCAACAGGTTCATCCACCAAAGACGCCTTCTGTTTGAAAGCTCTCGTTTGCCAAAGATGACCTCCTTTTACCAGTTGCTCTTCTGGGCGATGGATTGCTCCCAGTGATGGTGCAGCGAATGCGGCGCTGATCGTACTGGTGATTTGCACCTGACATCATCTCATAGTCTTTGGTTTCTGGAGAGAAAAAGGAAAAAAGAACCTCAGTTGATCATCTGTACATAAAACTGCAGCTTTAAGCAGCCAAAGCCACCAAAGACTTGAATACTGTTTAAATGGCTGCTTAGTCACTACATATCCCAAGAGGGGAAACGGACCTTTTTTTTAAGCTGACCAAACTAAAATTTATTTGTTTAGAGGCTATTTTCTATATTTATTGTTGGGGAGGGCGGGGGGAAAAGTCACTTTAAGGGCCTCTGCTAAGGAAAAATAAGTGCATTTTTTTGGATGGAATGCAATTTTCTAGAACGGTATTATGCTGAAGAGTATAACA